ATAGTAAAGGAAGAAGAGGTTTGAGGTATGAAAAAAATATGAGAGAAATTTTTGTTTTTTTTTTTCGAAAACATTAAAATTAATTTTAATTTGTTTTTCAACTCGGCATCTCATATTTTCAAACGGAAGACGCTAAAACTAGAACGGAAACTTTTCTTCTTCTTATTTTTTTTTTGTTTTTGCGTTTTCTGTTGTCGTTTTCTTCACGTTTCAGTTTTAATACAAAAAAAAAAAAAAATTTTAATTCAATAAAAAGGATTTTTCTGCTCCTTTTCATTACAGCAATCTTCCATTTCTTTTTGGTGCTTTTTTTCATGTTTTTTTTGAAAAAGTTTTCGTTGTTTTCAGATTCAGAAGTGAAAACTGTGCCAAAAAGAGTTATGAGAAGTTTGTCGTTTTTTTTGTTCTTTTGCAGAATGTTTGCAATTAGGTTTCCACTTTCTCTTTATAAAATTTCTGTGTTTTTTTTCTTTATTGCAGTTTTTGCTTTCTTTTTTGTTTTTCTTTTGAATAGTCATTTTTCCGGTTTCCTGTATTGAAAACGGTAGTACATAGTGTGTTATCCTTTTAAATTGAATTTGAATTATTGTAAAAATTAAAATTATATTGTGAAGATTTTGGGTGATTCGCTCTCTCTCGCTCTCTCTCTATATAATTGGTGGAATCAGTGGTGGTTAGATTTAAATGTTAGATCTAGTTTATATTTTGAACCACGGAAATTCAATGGAACAAAAAACGAAAATCTATTTTGTTTTTTTTTTTACAATTTCATTCGATTGTTCCAATTTTATTGAAAAATTTTTTTGCATTTTCCATTTCTGATTTGATTTTAATTTTGTATGCCATTCGATTTATTGGTAACTATATTGGAAATTTTTTTTCTTTAATCCTGTCATTTCCGAATATTCTCCCTGTATTTTTTGTAATTTAATTCTGATTTCTTGTTATCCTTGTATTTTTGCAAATTTTGTAAGTTTTTGTGTTTTTAATGTGTGTGAGTGTAGTCCAACTATTGTTCGACTCTTGTTAAATAATTTTTATGTATGTGCATGTGAGAGTATATGCATGGAATGAAAATTGCATAATATTCGGTTGGATATGATAACTAGGACATCAAGAAAAAATATTGTAAAAAACCTTTATGGGTTTTTTCTTTTTTTTTTTTTTGTTATTCTGGAGTGTTTTTTGAAATTTGTTAGTAGTAGTTTTCCTTTTCGCAGCTAAAAAACAGAAAATTTATTGTCGTCCTTAATTTTATATGTAAAATATGGTATTGTTTTTGTCAGTTATTATTCGCGTTATTGTTGCCCCGGAAATTTTTAAGAATTTGATAGGAAAAATCGTATATATATATATTTTTGTTTTTTAAACAATACTTTCATTAATATTGTATTTTCGATGGGGTTAAATTTAGAGAGAATCAAAAAAAAAAAAGCAAAAGAGAAAAAATAGTTTCCTGTTACCCGCGGTAAAACGCAATATTTTCAAAATTTATTTTTACTTGTTTTTGTTAAAAGGTTTTAGGTTATTTTTTTAGTGACATAAATTTTTTTTTTTTGGAAATAGCATTTACATACAATGTGTACTTATAGTAAGTAAGTACATAAATGCGAAAATATTGTATTAGGAAAATTAAATTAAAAAAAAAATAAAGTTGGATCAAAGCAATGGTTTGTAATGTAGCAATTTTCCTTTCAACAAGTGAAAATACTACTTTTAAAAATAACCTTTGTGCCTAGACCTATTGCACTATTAAAATTACTTTCATTCATATACGATACTATTTCAAAAATTGCATACCTCCACGATGAGCGATGTATTCAATCTTTGAATAAAACCAAAAAATTAATTGGAAAAATATGTTAAAATAATATTCGAATTTAAGGGTTAATTGAGTGAGTTAAGAAAAAAATAATTTCATTTTTAAATGGCATAGAATTTACCATTAGCTTTCTGCGTTTATAGAAATTTGAAATATCTTGCAGTTTCGGAAATATAAGATGCTAAAAATTCAAATTTTACGAAATCTCGTGAGGCGATAAATTGAGAGAGGGTGGAGAGGAATGAAATGAATTATTATGGAGAGGAATGAAATGAATTAGTGTCTAAGAGCTGCTAAAATTTCAGATTTTCACAACCTAGGGTCTATATGAAAAATTGAAATTAGAAAAACGACATGAAAAATTTCGGAAAAAACGGATTTTAGATAACGGTAAACTTTAACGATCACTTTGTATTTTAAAAGTTCAAGTATAGCACGCCGCAGTAGAAGAAGCCAGTCACTATTTTTCTGCGTTTGCAAAATTTAAGAAACGCTTATGGTGGCACTACAATAAATAGCTAAAAAATGTCTGTTTTAAAGATTGGGGGGAGGGATAACTTTTTAAGGCGGAGAGATTTTAAGGGAGAGACAGACGGCCGGACAGAGTAAAACTAATAAGCACTTTTTTTAAAGAAATTTTTTTGGAAAAATCCTAAAAATAAAAAATTCATAAAATTAAATAAATATTTTCGAATAAGCAAGACTATAAAACAGAATGATAATAAAACAGAAGTTAAAAAAAAAAAATTGCTGAAGATTAACGAGATAAATGAAAATTGCATACTGTTAGGCGTGCAATTTTTTTTTTCGTATTTAATTTATTTTGTGTTTTTTTTTTGATTTGTGAGTATAAAATCGGCTAAAAAAAAATTAAATGATAACAAAAATATAAATTATTTATGAACAAATATATTTTTTATGAGAAATTAGTTTCTAGAAAGTGAAGAAATAAATTTTTAGAGAATTGGAGTAAAAAAAAAAAGAATTTCAAGTTTTAGAGTTTTTAAATAATTTATTTGGTCAGTGAATTAGAATATAAAAATTGGAATTTAGAATACAAAATAGGAGTTACATGACGTGTATGTTGTAAGTAGATTAAAATGAGACCAGAGTAAAAATTTCAAAAAATTTATGGCTGCTGCTCTATTAAAAAATTTTTTAATATTTTTTATTTTAATGGTTCAGAATAATTCGGAATAATTGGATTGTTATTTAATATTAGAAATTTGGTAATTTTGAAAATTAATTGAATAAATTGGTTTTGAGTCGAGAAATTAATATCAAAGAATGTATAAGTAAATTTAAGTATACTAGATACACAGAGAAATGCGGCATATTGTTTATACAGAAGAGAAATCTGGAGAAAACCTAGATCTAAGAATAGTTAGAAAAATAATTCTATTAATTAGACTGATTATATTACCTACTTAACAATGATGTATATTTTGAACTAGAATTCCTAAATTTCCAATTATTCTGAATTCGATTTATTTTGATTTTTAATTCAATTAATTTAACTACATTATATAAATTCACAATATATTATAAAATTTTAGGATTTATTGTAAGATAACACAAATATTCTATAAATATGTCGCATATATCACACTTATCGCACATTTACGAGAACAATCACATATAAATCAAAATGTAGAGTCCCAAAACTTGCTTTTATTACTATTATAATTTATTCATATACTTGTAGAATAGTTCTACTACGATAATAATTTTATTATAATTTCCGGAAATTATAGTTATATTTTTGTGTTTTGTTGTTATTCTTCCCAATGTACGATATATGGAATATTTCTGTTACAATACAAAATTTGTGGCAAAAAACATTGCCGGACATACGACTAGTGTCGTATTTAGTTCAATTATCGGAGTGGTAATTTTGTCGAATTAGTTTTCATATAGAATTTATTATAATATTTTCAAGCTGAAAATGGAAAATATTTGAATTATATAAATTGGTATAATAACTCATAAAGAACATAATATTATTGTGAAGTTCAAAAACTTTCACGAATTTTAAATTAAATACTTAAAGAATAAATAAAAAAAATTTATTTTCTATTTCCGGACACGCGTGTATATGCAACCCTTGACCCGTATTGCACGGTGTTCCAGGCCGAAATACATGCAATAGAGATCTGTCTGAGAATCAATTTGGAAAGGGGGTATAGAAACCGCACCATCTATGTGTTCTCAGACAGCAGGGCTGCACTGCTGGCGCTCCGTTCAGCTCAGGTTACATCCAAGCTGGTCTGGAGCTGCCTTGCTGCACTTATGGAATTGGCATCGGAAAACAGAGTGATGCTCATTTGGGTGCCGGGCCATAGTGGCCATGCGGGCAACGAAGTTGCCGATGAGTTGGCGCGGAGGGGATCTGGGGCTGCCTTTGTGCAGCCGCTGCCTTTCTGTGGTCTGCCTTCTTCCGCCGTGGGGGCCAGGCTTGCCTGCCTACTCGCGGCGGAATGCAGTCGTCACTGGCGGGACACGAAAGGGTGCCGTCATGCGAAGGTGTTTGTTCCGGCGTGCTCCGGCGGATTCGCTGCGGAGTTGCTGGGGATGAGCAGGAGCCGAATTCGCACTATTGCGAATTTCTTCACGGGGCACTGCCCGGTGAAATACCACCTGCACAGGCTGGGGAAGTCGGGCTCCCCCCTGTGCAGATTTTGTGGGGGTGGCGATGAGACCGCCGTGCACATTCTCTGCGACTGTCCGGCACTGGCTGTTCGGCGCCGCAATTGTCTTGGACGTGGGTCCCTAAGTGTTCGGGAACTATTGTCCAACTCCCTTAGGGATATCTCCGGCTTTGTGATTGGGACGGGGATATTATAGACGGGAGGGTGGGGTGGCTACAATAAGTCAGAAATGGCTGCGGTGGCTTGGGGGGATGCTCCTGTCCCCACTCAGTTCCCTTGGAATCTACCAATCTACCAATCTATTTTCTATTTATAATAATTTGTACTTTTACGAGATTTATTTAATTTTCTCATTATTAATTCTTGAAATTTAATTGAATATAATTATTTCTAAAAAAAATATCCTATTGTTGTACTCATAATTATTAAAAAATACTCATTCATTTATTCTGAATAAAATTAATTTTGAATAAAAAATAAATTTAATGAAAAATATATTATCAGGGGGGGAAGGGGGGGGGGGAGGGTACTTACTCATTTTAAATAAAAAGAATAAATTGTTGCTCTCTGCTTTATTTTTCCGGTATATAAGAATTTCTTTGAAAAAATTTTATTTTTTTTTCAAAAATTTTTTATTTTTTATTTTTATTATATTGAATTTGTTGAATTTTTTTTATTTTTTTATTATTTAATTGTTAAATAGCACCACAATAAGAAGAACATTTTGTTGGTATTTTTTTGATATAATTTTTTTTTGTTTTTATAATAAAATTTTCACAAATTTTTTTCATAATTTTTTTTTTCAATAATTTTTTTATACTATTTAAATTCTTAAATAGATTTTTGGAATTTATTATTTTTAATTGAATTATTTTATTAATAAAATTGTGTTGAACATATTTTGCACTTATAATTTTTTTTAAAGTTTATGGGACGAGGTGGGGGACGAGGGAGCACGAATTAATTTTTTCGATTTACGAAATTGGAATTGTTTAAAATTTAATTATTAAAAATTTTCGGTATTTAAAGTGAATTTTTTTTTGAATATTTTTTAATTTGTAATTTCTTAATTTAATTATTTATTTAATTAATTATTTAATTATTAATTTATTCTTCTTTAGTTTTCAAGTTTTCTTATGAATTATTTGAAATTATTTATGAATTTTCAGATTTTATTAACAATAAATTCCTAATTTTTAAATAATTTTGTTTAAAATTTTTTTTATTTATTTTAATAATTATTTTAATACTATTTTTATTTTTAAATAACAATTTTCAATAATTTTCAAGAATTTTCGTTTTAATTTTTGATTATTTTTTATTTTATTTGATTTTCAATGGGCAGTATAAGTTGTTTAATCCTTGTTTTAGTTTTTAAATTTATTTATTAAAATTATTTTTTAATTACAATATTTTTATTTCGAATATAAAAGAAGAATAAAATAATTTCGTATTGAAAATGAATTAGAACAAAAAAATTGAGGTTATTGTTTACTTATTTTTTATCGAAAACAAATTCAAATTGTAATTGAACACTTTGTTTTTTTTTGCAATTTTTCATTCAAAAAATGAATTTTATTTGTTTTTCTTTCTAGGAGTAAATAATCACTTTGATATTTAAATGGAAATTATTGTTTTTGTTTTTTTTTCTAAAAATAAATAAATTTTTTTTTAATTTATTATTTTAATAATATAAAAAATATTATTGAAAATGAAAATTTGTTTTAGAAAATTGTATATTTGTGGTATATTAAATTGGGATTTCCCGGCCGAAAAACAATCAGAGGTAAAAAGGATTTTTTAATTGAATTTTTGAAAATTTTTAGCAAGATCCTTACGACAATGAAAAATTACCCAGTTGTAGATAAAAAAATTTTGAATATAGAATTTTAATTATTTTTAAATCCGTTTTCGGACCAAAATATTAGATCATTTTTAAAGGATTTTATTATTCAATTACCTAACACATACATTTTGATTATAATGATGGTTCCAGGTTTGATGTTTAATTTTCGATTATACACAATTTCGATATTTTAAAATTATGGTTGGAAATTGATTTATGTTCATCAGAATTTTCGGAAAAATCTGAAATGAAAAGAAAATTGTATTTAAAATTAAATTTTAATTATTATTTTTTATAAATTTTATTAATAAAACATCTTAAAAACCATAAAACTAATATTATGTACTTAGACAGGGTTCGAAATTTGGATATGAAATGAAAGAGTGTAGGACAGAAATTCAATGACTGCCGTTATATTTCTGATTTCATTAATTTCTTTATTTGCATTTTAACGCATATAGCATACATAGAAATTTTATTGAAACAAGATTTTTAACGCTCTATAACTGCAAAAACCTAATTGTCTAATTTAAAACTATAATCCGCTTATATTCTCTGTTCAATCCGTGTTCATTTCTATTTCAGTTTTAATGCTTATTTGTTTTCTCTTTTTTTTGTCGCAAATACTTTTCAATCAGTGCGTTGTACTCTATTTTCTATAGGTACTGAATAATTCTGTGTGAACAAGCAATATATGATCTAAGTCTGTTATAAAATTACAGTAATTCTATAATAATTTTAGAATTCTTTTCAATATTTTCTGGTTTTTTTCGTATATAGTTATAATTATTATAAAATTTAATTTTATATAACAGTATATACACATAAACATATATATAAACTCGCATCATACATTGTTCCTTGTTAAAGTTACCTATTATATATTGTATATAAAAATATAGTTGACGGGAAAAGAAAGCAACGTCGTTGTAACCTATAAAAAAAAATATCTAAGGAAAAAGATAAATCGAGAAAAAGAGTAAAAATTTTATTATTATTTTTATATTTAAATGGAAAAATTCTGAAAAAACAAAACCTTTTTTAATTTAAAAGAAAAAATAAATGTATTTTTTTCCAGTGTAATAATTTTATTTTTCTGTTGTATAGACAATAGAAAAAACGCAAGAACGTATTCTAAATTATGCGATAGAAAAATTTTAAAGCCTCTGGTTGTAGGTTATTAAATAAAAAAATTTTTCCACTTCCCAACCACATACTATAATAATATTGGAATGGTGAATATACGGATCTTTAATTAAGATAAAAATTAAATTAAAATAATATAAGAGTGTCGTCACCATATGGTTTCACTAATTAACATAAAGTAGTGATAGTTTTTCATAGTTTAAATTGTATTTAGATTAGATTGGATTGAAAAATAAGACGATGACATACCACTACCTAAAATATCTATTGTCCTAGACAACCCCCTTGAGACCCACACCCTTGATGAATCCGAGCAATTTTTCTGTAGGGATGTCTGACAACGGCATGTCCACCAGCCACATCTCGCCCAAACTAGCTCCCTCTTATGGACCAATGCTTCACTGAGAAGGTACACCGGATTCATAAATTGTATGCAATAACACAAGCTTTATGTATAATTTTACATTCGCTTAGTTACTCATTTTTAATATTCAACTGTATTGGTTTGATACATTTTCAAGGATATATTTTGCCACATATTCTAGGTTTGGGAGGAGCTAGTAACGGGGACGGAAATACTATGCAAAATGTTTGTATTACATGTTAGTGTTGAAATATTTTTCATTTCCTTTGGAATTTTAGCAAATTTGAAGAAATTATATACAAATTTGAAGGCATTCAGGACCGATTTATTTCGTTAATAACTCTGTTAATAAATTTCACAAAATTTCTGATAAATCTTTGTATCGAGTCTATAGTTTTGATTTTTCAATAAAATTTTCTAGCCAAGGTACTTTTATTTTTATGCAATCAGAAATTCCCACATTTTAATTTCTGCAATCTGAACACAAAAATGATTTTATGTAACATTTCAATTGTCTGCCATCTATTGAACAGCATTCGTAACCTAGATTCATAATATTTATGATTTCCATTTATATTTCATTTTCGTTTTTTTTTTTTTACAATTACCATTGGTTTTACATAATACGAGTATAAAAAACAGAAAGAGAGAGAGGGGGAGAGGGAGAGACTCGTAGTAGTAAAAATGTGATAAAACATAATTTCAATTGCTTCAATAACAACACTGTTCTCTAAAAAAAATTCTGACAAATATAGAAAAATAAAAAAATAAAATAAAAACAAAAAATATAACAATTTGAGTAAAGGAGATGGATGGATGAATGTTGGGAATGTAAAACAAATAATAATGTAAAAAATAATAAGAAAAAGAAGGTAAAAAAAAAAATTGAGAAAAAAAACTTAAAAATGTCCTAAAAGTCAAAAGTGGAAAAAAATGAGAGAAAAAGGAAATAAAAAAAGGGAAAGCGTTTTATTTGTTTTTTTTTCTTCTTTTTTTTTTGGTTTTTGAAACATTAAAAGCATCTCAAGTACCATTCAACTTCCTTTGCTCTCTTTAACTTCACTTTACTTGAACATTTTGGATTTTATTTTTTTTCTTACATTATACAAATATTTCGTGGGTAGGTGGGTAGGTATGTGGGTAGATGTGTGGGTAGATGGGTAGGGGTGTGGGTACCCCTTAAAAAAAATTTTTTTTCTATTTTATTATTTAAAATTTTTTTCTTTTTGAATTCCTAAAGTTATTTGTTTGTTTTAGCAACAGTTATTTTTATTAAATTTTACGTTTATCTTAAGAAATCTATTTAATCACCAGCATTGTTCTTGTATTTCGAAATTGCGGCGAATTATTACTCAAATTACTTTAATTTTCAGTTCAGGTCAGCATATTTTATGGTAATAATGTAAAAATTGCTGCAAAAATTTAAATTTCTAACTTTGGAGCTAATACTGTTGTTTTGTTTAGTACGGGCTCTGAGTTGAACAAATAGGCAATTTAATTAGCTTGCGTGTTTAATTAATAGAATGAGATTAGCTAGTTTCTACGAAATGTAATAGAAAATATAATAAAATTAATTTTTGTTATATTAATAGCCGTGTACATATTCCATTATTATCAGACTTCAATACTCCATTGAAATATCATTGTTCTATATTTTTACATATTATTACTTTTCATTTATCGAGTGTTTGTAGAGCAATTTACTAATTTTAACACTTATTTTTTACTCTGTCTTTGCCTCTGTCTCTGCCTCTTCTTTCCCAATATCACACATCTCTCTGTCTCTCTCGATTTTAAGGAAATTTGTATAAAACTGTTATACAATGTTTGAAATGCACATATTTCTTTTTTATAATAATAATAAGATAATGGGTGAGTGGATAAGAGAAAATTCATATTTACCACTTTTTTTTTTAAAGTATGTTTGTATATTTATATAAAAGTATTTGAAGAATAAAAGATAGACATTTTAATTGTATATATTTGCATATATGACTATTATACTTATAATACTTTCATCTCTATATAGACGTGCAAATATATTAATGTATACACATTTATTTGCACATTGTATATAATATTGTTTATGTATATTATAATTTTGTGTTTTTTTCTGTAAGTGGCATATAATGTAAAATGTAAACTGAGGCAATAGGACATTCAGAAAATTCAAAACAAAAAAATATTATATAACAAATAAAGACAGAAAAATCATGAGAACAAGAATTAAAGAAACAAGTGAAATTAAAATATTTTTTATAATAAAATGGCGGCCATATACCAGTATATACCAAATGAAAAATACAAAGTACAATAATGCAAAATACAACAAAAATAAAATTTATTATGAAAATTTATATTGAGAATCATAAGCAAAAATCTACCTTTTGATATGCACACATACATAATAAATGATGAGAAAATTCATACTTACATTCACACATACACAAAGTCATATATGTAGAATTTAATATTCAAACAATAATGTAAAAAATAAATAAATTGTTTCGTTTTTTTTTTTATGTTTGCCTACTTACAAATATTAAAACAATTGAAATTTATTTTATTTTATGTAACTATGTATGTACAATATGAGTGTCATAATTATTTATGTCACAATAATATTCACATATAAAGTAATTGTTCTAAAATATCACATATACTATGTAATTTATAATTTATATACAGAGTGATTTGCTTAAATTATACACTAAATTAAATACTAATTTAGAATCTGTTTAATTTTTCAATATTTATGGGAATAATATTTTTAAATTATAATTAAATTTTGTGTTGTTCAAATGGTTACCAAATGGGTTGTCAGCAAACAGAAAAAAAAAATATTTTTCGAAAATTCATGGTTAATTTCGAAATTATTTTAATATTGAGTAATTGTATACTCTCTTTCTCTCCCTCTCTCTCTCTCTTTCAGTAAATTTATTCGTTGAGAAAATTTTGCATTCAATAATTTTTCATTTGAAATTGACAACCTGGCCTGATCAATTTTTGACATATCTTAATTCTCTTATTTCAAAGAATATTAAAAAATGTGTCCGGTCTGGTTTATAACTGATTATATCACCGTAAAAGTCGTCATGATCGCTTAGAAATTTTATTAATTAATTTCAGTCCAAAAACAGCTTAACATTTCATTATTGCTGAATCTGTGTCATAAATTCCGATATTTGCTATTCGATACTTAAAGATTTTAGAGTGTTCTAAAGAAGTTTGTAATTGGAAAATTTTCTAATTTAATCCAAATATATTCCAATTGCATTCTATTGGAAACTGTATAAAGAATTTGCTTGTTTGAATCTTAAAGAATTTTGAAAAATGTTAAATTACATGGCAATAACATCAAAATCTAGAATTTTGAATCAAAACTAGAATATATAAATAAGTAAACTTCAAATAACTTATGTGTAGTCAGAACATTGTACATAACCTATGCATAAACCTATGTAATTGAGAAAAATTTAATTGAGAATTTTGTGTGTGTGTGTGTGCGTGATGTCAAGTTAAATGTAATATACTTAAACTAATTGGTAATATTTTTTCTTTCCACTCAGTTATATTTAAATGTATATAAGACACGCTATACAAACCATTTACAAAATTCTGCACATAACATGCTATACGTAATATAATAGGTACAGTATGTGAAATGAAAGAGCATCAAGAAATCCGAGTTATAAAATTCTACTTTTTCTAGTTCCGTTCTATTCTGATTTT